AGGGTCAATGTTGACATCTTCAAAAATGAAGCTTGCCTTCTTGAATGGTAAGTTTAAGAACTTAAGTTCTAAGTTTTTTGTAGCATAGCCAGGCAACCCCCCCTTCAAGCCCCACACTGTTCTCAGGCGCATGCATATAGTCCATAAACAAGTGCCCTACCCTGTTCCTGGAGGGATAGCTCCCAATAGCCAACACACTGGAATACATTGTTAGTCTGTGTAACCACGTGTTCCTATCATTTTTTGTCCTAGGCTTTCTCCCAACTCTGTTTTATTCATCTTGAGACATAAGCACCTGAAGGCAGAAGCTCTCTTATGCATCTGTAGAGAACCTAGTACTGTCTGCTCTCCAAATACAATTGGAAATTTCCAACATCTTTCTCACAACTACTTCTCACATTCCTTCCTGTGGAACTTCCTAGTGAGTTTCATCTGCAGTGTCTATAGTGGAGCAGATCCACACCCTTTTTCAATATCGCTGAAAATATTCTTCGGTCTATTTAATAATTCCAGCTGCTAATCAAAAAACAGTTTGGCTATTAAAAAAACTCTCACTTTCTACAAGGCATGTATGTACGGATATGAGAGAGGAGTGGAAATGGAGTTGAAGCACGTCTATACAATACAATATAAACCCTAATCCCTAGAAAAGAGATACATTTCCTAGCATTGTAGGAATTTTGTGGAATTTTTTAAAATACTGTACAAAAGGTTTTATTAAGGTTTTGCTTCAAGAACGCTAATTGAAACTAATCTTGCTCAAAGGGGAAAAAACAAACAGCAGCTGCCTACTTTCTCCCATCTTCAACACCCACACTATGCACCAACTAAGAGAAACCACAAAGAGAACTCTCAATCTAACAGGACTCATATTCACCAGGTGTTATTGTGGTTTTCATATTATTCTGCATGTGCATATCACTTTTACTAGAGCTACCTAAACGAATTTCTTTGCTCTTTCACCTACCCAACTATCTGATAAGGAGTATACTGTTATCGTGGCTTCTATTCTACAATGCTGAAAGTGTAGAAAAGCTTGTTGCTTTTTTTCTGCAAGAAATAAATGAAAGATACCTTACCAGGGTGGGGGAAGAACCCACGAGGAGAGAGTAGCCTAACCCTAGTAAAACTGATCATAAACTTTCATCTCTCTACATCAATAATAATGTCAGTACCAGTTTATTAATTTTCCTCTATCAGGGTTTAGTATGCATCTTGCACTTTAATCAGAAACTAAACTGTAGAGTCAAGCTATAGTAAAGTCCAGCCAAAGAATCAGGTGTACATGGAGAAAACTTTAAGTGTTTTAAACAGCACCTTTTTTAGTCATTTTTCCATTGTTCTAAAATGTTCAGTAATCTTGATTATAGTTTTTCACAGCATGACTAGTGACAGCATTGTTCTTCGTCTCCCAAATCCAATTATTTTGACTTAATGAAAACTTAGCTACAGACATCACTGGTAGTGGTGCCCTGTATGTAAGATCTAGAAGAATCTCTGTTGTACGTTTGGGTTAGGCAAACATGGCCAAATATTCATCTTGAACTTTTTTTCCCCTCTGGAACCTCAAGTACAACAAAGGGGTAGCCGTGTTAGTCTGAATCTGCAAAACCGGCGAGGAGTCCCGTGGCACCTTATAGACTAACCGAAGTGTTGGAGCATAAGCTTTCGTGGGATGCATCTGACGAAGTGGGTCTTTGCCCACGAAAGCTTATGCTCCAACACTTCGGTTAGTCTATAAGGTGCCACGGGACTCCTCGCCGGTTTTGCAGATTCAGACTAACACGGCTACCCCTTTGTTGTACTTGAGGTTCCAGAGGGGAAAAAAAGTTCAAGATGAATATTTGGCCATGTTTGCCTAACCCAAACTGCAAGCCTCAGGCACAAGTAGCCCCATTGGCCTGACTGGGAATGGCCTTGAAATACAGAAGTCAGACTACACCTATGGTTGAATGACCCAACCCTGCTGACAGACAGTCCACATCTTTATGCATGTACACAATGCCATTAAGATCTGCAGGCCTATTCACATGTGTAGAGTTAAGCATGTGCAATCTTGTCAGGATCAGGGCCTGAACTCGTATCCCTGTCCTCTGAAAGAAAAGCTGGTTTTATACTTTTGTATCTAAATATAATGAAATAAAATTGTGTTAATCAGAAAGGGCCACCACAGCTAATATGTTCCATTTACTGGATTATCTGTGCATAAGCAAATCAGATAGTAGTGTGAAAAAACTCAGTATCCCAAGGTGGTTTCAAATTCTAACACCTCAAATCAAGGGATGCAGTAAATAAGTAGTTCCTGTGTTATGCAAATGAAGAATCTCAGGTATATCACAAGGCTACTCTACACGCAAATGGTCAGACAACTGTGATGAGAGGATGAGAGCCTGGGTCTCTTAAAATCTACTTATCTAAACTGTTTTTCAATCTTGCTATCTGAAAGGAAACAGAGGGAAGTTGAATGGGTGACAGTTAGAAGCCCACCAAAGGTAGAGAGCAGAAGTGAAGAGGTGGGAAGGCATAACTGCTTACCACACAGGTTGTGGTTAATGACAGAGTGAGTATCATCTTCTATAATACAGTGTTTTGATCTCTCTCTCTCTCTCATACACACACACTCACACACATTAAAAACAGCTGTCAAGTATAAAAAACAAAAGATGTTAGTTCAATTTAAAAAAATTAACTCAAGTATCTAGCCTCGTGGTTAAGTCTGGAGATTTCAGTTTATGGTCAACATTAGCATATTACAAGAACCCTATTTTACAATTATTGTGGTGCTGCTCTAACATGCAAGAACACGGAACTAAATTAATCCCTTAGACATCAGGCTAGGATGGAAAGCAGATGCATTTTATCTCCCCCTCTCTCCCCAATATCACAATAGCTACTCACACATTTTTACAGTACAAAGAACCTGATCAATTTGGTCTGAAATATCAACTATTATACTATCTGCAGAAATGTACCAGTCATGCACAAGAAAATAACCAGTGGTTCATTGTGATACATTTAAGAACAATTTTGAGATTTTAAAATCTCTAGTTATTTTTATAGGCAACATTAAGAAGTTGAATTTTTTTTGGTTCCAAATCTTGCATTCATTAGTGTTTCTTGGAGGTAAAGGAAATAGTACAGGGTTTTACTAAATTCCTGTTCTTCAAGGAGACACAGATCTGAGCATTAAAGACTTCCATGTGACTGCATTCTTTTTGTCAGCAAATCAGAACTGCAATATTTTCTGTCAACTATTTTTATTTTACATATCTTTTAGCAGAAGCCTATATAGAAAGACTATACTGGATATAGTATGAATGCTTCAAAATTAAGCATATAGACCTTCAAACGGATAGAAAAAAAACAGGTTTTGCCACCTTCTTATTCAAGTCAGATTTAAGACACAAAACTATAAAAGCATTACATGCCTTTGATTTTTATTCTTTCAAATGTACATAAGATTGCACAGTACAAGACAGAAGCATGTAGAAGGTTTCAGAAGCACATTTCAGAAGGCCACAACCTATTGTCTCATTCTGAATTCAAGCACCTTCATCTGGTGGAGACTGTCTCCAGTGTTTAAGTATAATATTTTGCTGTTAAAAATACCAATATGGACTAGTTCAAAGTTTAAAAAAAATCAGAACTGAAACAAGTTATAGGATAGAGATGTTGCCAAAAATACTTTTCTTACTAGTTTTTCATTACTAGAAAAAATGCAATGTGTATAACAAATAAAATGTAGGAAATTATTTCCTAATGTCTATGGCCTTCCACAACACACAAACTTCTGGTTTTCAAAGATAATTCTGCTAATGCAATTTCCTCAACTAAAATTAAATTTCCAAAAAAACCCTCAGTAATTTACCAAAAACATTTCAGAATTTTCTATTCTAATACAGGTGTCAATCAGATTCACTTCTACATCAACCGGAGAAAATTACATATCTTGACAGTAAATGAAAGTCAATGGCCATCATGGTAGCGCACAAACAAAAGTTGCTCTCAACTACATCTTAGTTTATCTACAGTTGTTTCACATGCTATCACAGATGACTCCCCTGTTTGCTTTATCTTAAACTATGCTTTTGGTTCCAAGTGACATTCAATGGCACAGACCTGACAACTTCACACAGAGTAGTCTAATAAATATCAGCTAAGGAAAACCACGTATCAGCTATTTTTGAGTGTCATGTACAGATTAGCAATTCTAGTAGTCCTATCCCCAATCCTCTATCTTCCCTCATAAGCAGGAGACACTAAAGACAGTATAGTAGTGCTTCTGTCCTTTCCCTTCATTCTAAAGGCAGCATTTACACCATTCCATCACAACTTATACCATAAAGTTATTTTTTCAGCCTTATTCAACCACACAACAATACTTCAGTTATTAGATGTGCAGCTTTTCTTCCACCATTCCAATCAAAATCCTCAGGAAGTATATATATTATTTGAAAATAGAATACAGAATAGCAATGCATTGTTCATCTTAGTTGCATTTAGCATAAAGATAAATAATATCAAAAGCATATACTGAACAGAAAACCATTTGTCTCTCCAAGGACTGTTTGTGTAACAGGTAACTCACTGTTCTAGGGATGGGTGGAGACAGAGATCCATTAGACATGTAGGGGTCATTATTCATATTTGGCATCATGATATACCCAGAATAACCAGAGTAGGATGGGCCTTTGCTGTATAAGCCACCATCTGGATGTTTTCCTGTGAAAGAAAATAAGTGGAGGCTAAATTAACAACTCTTAAGCTTTTCTGGCACATTAGAGGCTTTTCACAGTAAGAAATTCACAATATTTGTAAAAGTCTTTTGGGGGCTGGAGGAAACATATTGCTAAGGATTCATTTAATTTTGTATTGCATTTCCGTCAACAGTTACTCCCTTAAATGGCTTATTAACAGACACTTGTTAGGAATTGCATTTAGGACATGGGAAGACTTCAGTATAACCAGTCTATTTTATAAGTCACAAACAAAGACTGGACTAGGATGATTTGCTTAAGAGCTTCAAAGAACAGACACATGCCTAATGTACTACTACATTTGATTCTAAAGTTACTTGATAGTCTTTTTGGTGTGTGCCTGTAAATTTTAGAAACAATACGCAACACACGATTCCTAGGCTATGTGGGTGCATATTCTTGCATGAACAATAAGCAATGCTACAGATATTAAATCCCAGCAATGGAAATCAAATTTATAAAGTAGTAAGTCTCTCATTTTAAGTAGCATCTGTTGGAACTGTCCTGCATATAGACTTCTCCCATCAGTTCCACAGCTGGTTGCAGAGAAGTGCAGTATTACAGTTAGACAGAACCACTTCCTTCACTAGCTGGCATACTGCATGTATGAATAATTCTTTCTGGTCATGCTAATTGAAAGCTATTAAAGAGAACAGGAATACAGGCTGGTGTACAAGGATACCCTACTGCTTATTGGGGCCTATTCAAAACAAAGGAGGTTCCACTCCTAATTTGTTTAATATCTAATTTAAATAATAAAAGCTGTTAACAAGGACTGAGACTGAAGAAAAGCTGAAGCCCCAAACTTAATGTGAAACTCTCATTTCAGTTCAGAAGATCATCCTTATGAACTAAAGCCCCATTATAAAAATATACTGATCCTCATCCTATATTAGTGTCCAGCTTTCTAAACTAAAAATGTGTAGTCAGCTTCACGCATCTTCCTTAATGAAGTATTAGAGATCACTAATTTGCACATCAAAAGGTTAGACGTTTTTCTGATTTTAAGGCATGTTTAAAGTGGCAGAACTTGGGTTGGAAAGCGAGCGTACAACTTCTTAATATACATAACTCAGTAGGTTTGTCAGAACGAGGGAAGCAAGACAACATTTATATATGAACCACTGATATTCTAAAAATAGTTATTTCTTCAGTAAAAAGATCCAGTTGGCCTATTTACTTCAACTGGCAATCAACTGAAATACCATTTAGTTACTTAAGTAGGATGAATGCACACCAAATGTAATTTTACTCAGTTTTGAAAACGTTTGTATTTTTCCATAAACACACATATACACCCAAGTCCAACTGACTGCTAACTAAAAAAGCATTATTAAAATTACAGCTGCATACACATTGAGAGGGGCATAAATAAAGTCACAATGTAAAGTAAAGAATAAGTACATCTCACCTTCTTCAGAATGTTCTCTGCCTTTGTCATGATAGGATTCCTGACCTTGGGCTTGCCTGGAAACCTAACCACACAGAATCCACTATTAAAAATAAGTATTTTTATGCATATCTGTTCACTTTTGCTTACGACTCAATCTTTCAAAAAGTAATACAAAATTAGCGAGTGTCTCAGTCAAGAGAAGCAATTGTATTTTTGTTCTACTTTCTCACTCCCTTGACTCATGCTGAAAAGGAAGTGAGCTATAACAGAATGGTCTTTTTTATTACAAATGCAATTACCATGTGGTTCTGCAGAGCAGTTCTAGCACAAGTAGTGCACTCAATTTACTGAAGGAGCTTATTTCTTAAAAACACTTTAAAGCTTTAAGAATCAAAATAGTATTCCTAAACTGAATACTTTTCATGAAAACTGAGTGTCCCATTATATGGACCTTTAAAAATTCCATCCTTATTTTTAAATTATTCCCATGTTAGTAAATTGCTACCAAAACAGGTTATTCAAAACCTTTAAAGAGTTTATACTGTAATTAATGCTCTGACCTCTGATTTTACTGAAGAAATTTCATGGTTACTTTAGGCCTAATGCTATTATAGGATCCTGTGATTAATAGGTACTTGCTTGTCCTGAGCTATGAAACTGAAATATGAAGGAGAGAGAAGGTCCTCCTGCATACACACACTAAAAGGGTGTTTAGTAGGCACTTAAAATATGTCAGTGCAACCCCACAGATTCATTTTTAAAGCTATTTTTACAACATGCAGTTTGGCTAGATCATGAGACAGGCTGGAACTGAAAAAAAGCCAGCTAAGCTTTTGGATAGTCCCCTACTGGAAGTTGCAATAGAAGCCAAGAACCAGCATGTCTCCTCTGAGTCTCTTATGACTAAAGAGAAAGGTTGTTTCGATAGTTGGCAGTGCTGATCTACAGTCAAAAATAAGACTTCCGATGTCAAAGCAAGGTAACTACTACTGTGTTTATCGACTGCTGATCTCAGTGCCAATCCCCTGTTCTGACTGTATTGGCTTACTGCAAATGAACTCCCAAACAATACGGATCCACCTTCCATTATCCCTGCAAAGCCATGCCTTTCATTAGTCACTAGAAGTAGCACTGTATTAACTCCAGAAGTACACAGTCCTTTTAGTTGCTCATTCTGGTTCCCTAGGCTCATGCCCAACTGAAATGCAGCGATTAAAAAAACTGGTCAATATAATGATTGAGATGCAATCAAACTCAAGTGTGACACTGCATAAATCTTGGCCAGCAATCTCTGATCTTCATTCAAACCCATCACTAACACCAAAAATTCATGTAGTGAAGTGAATGCACCAGCTGTTTCCCCTTCGTCCACGGCGACAAGTTAGCCGTCTAAAAAAATGTGACTCCCCAATGCAATGACTTCTCCCCATATCCTCCTGTATTTGGAGTAAACCCCGAGACTTTTCTAGACCTGTTTTTTCAATGTTGTCACACAGGCCAATGCATTGTACTGAAAGAGATGGGCCACGGCCACCCTTTCTCCACGAAAATTCCTATCAGATGCTGATCGATAAAGCAACTTATTTCCCCCCCCCCTTTTTTTTAAAGAAAAGGTAAAAGCTCCAGCTAACTCCCTCCCACAAGTACCCACGTGTCTCTATTTACCCTGCTCGGATCGCTTGCCTGACTGTACCTATCGAGGCGCTCGAGCCGAAGGAGCCCCTAAGCAAAGCACAAGCTTGATAATGCTCGGGCCAAGGCTCCAGGAAAGGGTTTTTATCTCAGCACCGGCTGGAGCACACGAGGCAGACTGGGGAGGGAGCGCGCCGACGGGGTCGTGCTGAATCGATAATCCCGGGTCTGCCAACCCGTTGAGCCCCAACGGGGGGAGGAGGCCAGGGCAGATCAAAGCCCTGCCGGTAGGGAATGAAATGCTCGCTCTCGCACACAGCTCTCCGGCTCGCAGAGGTCGGCGTGTCCGCTTCCCCCCCGCCCAACCTGTGCAACTCTCACTCCGGAGCGCCTTCCCTCCCACTCAGGGGAAACTTGGCGGCTTGGTGTACAAAGCGCTTTGATGAAAACCGCGTCTGCTGCCGACGTCCTGTTTTCCTTTGCGCACCACCCCCCGGCCCCGCTCCTTTAATTTCTCCTGCACTGAAGAAGAGGTGCCAGGAGAGGTGCCCACGGCGCTGCTCGCCTGTGACTTGTGTGTTCACCCAGTCCTGGCCACTCCGGGTGGTGTGAACCCCGAGGGCTGGCGGGAACCCCGGCGCCTCAGAGCCCTCTACTGGGGCTGGCTGCTCTGCCCTAGCACTGCCCAGCTCCAGAGCCGCCCTTCTCCCCAAACCTCTCTCCGTGCCCCTGGTGTGAACCCCCCCCCGGGTCCCCCGCCGCCGCTGGCTGCCCGGCCCCGCTCACCTCGTGCCCATTGCTGCTGGGGGTGATCTCGGACTCGTTCACCAGCGAGGACTTGATGTCAGCCAAGTCGCCTTCTTCCTCCGGGTGGCTGATCTCGGCGAAGATCTTCTCTTTCTGAGGGTCGCCTTCGTCTTTGAACGGGATCATTTCATCGGTTGCGCACAGCTCCGGGTCCCCCCCGCCGCCGCCTCCGGCGCCCGACAGCTGAGGCATAATTGCCCTTCAGTGCCTGCGCCGCCCGGGGAACAACAACAGCACAGGGAATGAGAATATGATTATGATCAAGTCTCCACGAGCATCGGCCGCTTGCCCTCCCCTCCCCATGCCCTCTTCCCGCGGGAGCGTGGAGCCAGGCTCAGCCACCCGGAGGGAAGGAGGTCGGTCTGTCTGTCTGACTTGTCGGGCCGTCTGCGGCCGTGGAAAGGTGGGGGGGAAACACAGGCACTTTTCTCCTCCTCTCTCTCCCCAGCTGCGGCTGCAAGAGGGCAGAAGTGTTGGGAGCCCTCCTGGATAAGCCTGGATCTTCTCCGGGCCTTTTTCTTTCTTACAGCCACCTCCTCCCTCCGCCTGGGTCCCATCCCCCGCCTCCCCAGCCGCCAGCGAACGGGGGCGAGAGGGTCCTGCCAGAGCAGAGCCCGCAGCGGCTTCCCTGCTGCAGCCGCGGCTCGCTGCTTCTCCGAGCCGCCAGGGCGCTCCGGCTGGGGGGGGTGGGATGCTACAAAGTTTGCCTCTGAAGTGAAGTTGCCCCCCCCCCCCCCCCGGGCAGCCCGGCCACACGCCCCGAGACTCTTGGCTTTTGTCCTCGCGTGTTGCTCCGAGCGCTGCTCTCTCCCCCGCTGCTCTTCGCTGGGCCCGGCTGCGGCGGGCGCCGGGGGGGCCTTGGAGCAACAGGATAACGCGCAGCCCCCCACGCGTGGGGCGGATGTCACAGCGCCAGCCGGCGGGGGCCGAAAGGGAAAGTTCTCTCCCGAGCGAGGAGTCTCCGCGGTCCGAGGCGCCCCTGCATTCACCGCCCCTAGAGGGGGCCAGCCCCGTCTCCCAGAGCCGCCTGCTGCAGGCCGGGCATGGAGCCCCCCATGGGGAAGGGAGACCCCCCCCCCCAGCAGCTGCCGCCCCCCTGCGCCTGCCCAGGTGCAGCTGCCGCCCGGCCCTAACAATCCACGCGCGCTCCCTCGGCTCCCTCCTCTCCCGGACTGGGGCTGCGGCCCGGGGCTTTCGGGAGCCGGCGGGGCGCGTTCTCCTGGCCCGGGCGAGACTCTCCAGGGCAGCAAGGGGAGCGGGACGGACCAAGCGCGCTCGCCCGAGCTCCGGCGGTGCGAAGTGGGAGCCAGTGTCTGCAATGTAACTTTAACATCCCCTCCACCCACTCCGCCTCCCCCCCCCCTCCTTCTCTCTGTGGACAGGGTGGGGGCGGGGGGAGAAGATGAAAGCGAAGCCGCCGCTCTGATTGACAGCCCGTTGATAGACGCTCGGGAGAGGGAAGGGAAATGGATCCGCGCAGCAGCCCGGCTTAGCTGGCTCGAGTGCGAAGTGCCAAGCCCCGGGGAGGGCTGCAGCCTCCTCATTCAGTACAAAGCCGTCGCCTCGGCCAGCGTAAGCTAGTACCGAGGAGTCGGGAAAGCCATCGCTTCGTTTATTTCCAGCGCAGGAAAAGGGGGAGAGGGTAGAAAACAGGCGGTCGGAAGGGGCATGGGAAAAATGTAAAAATCATTCTTTTGGTAAAAGTGCAGAACTACTTGCATGGTGCACACCAGTAGCAGCCAGTGATGATTTTGCAAGTTCTCGGCATCGTGCGGTCACGTTGATTTATTTCTATAACGCGGAGCCGCAAAGGGGACGGTGAAGGGACTTAGGACCCCCAAACGGCGGAGGCTTATAAGTCGCCCCCCAAATGACTACCCGTCCCCAGAAGGGCAAATAATCGTTATCTCAACATCCCACAGACAAATCTGGAACAAGGATGTTTTTAGGGCTGCCTTGTTAAGACTTCCTCTTTTTTTTTTTTTTTTTTTTGGAGGGAGTGGGACCGCATGCGCATGAAATTGTCCGCAGAGCAAAAGAGGTACTATGTTCTCTTTTAAAAACGTTCGCAGTCATTTCAGATGAAGGGCAGTGTTATTAGATCATCATTAAACCTAGAGCAAGCCAGCAACTGACTGAGAGAAGTACCTGGCCAGTAGCCCTGGAAGGGACAATGAGATAAACCAGTCCTGAAGGGGTCATGTTTCAAGTCATCAAAATAAACTGGGTAATAAAAATTTTAGGACTAGCGAAAGAAACCCCTTTCCCTCATCATCCCCTTCAGTTGGAATTTGGATTATTTTGTTAGCCCCATGTGTTAACAGCACCCACGGTATCTGTATAAAACAACAGGCGCTCAGGGCATTTGGAAATGTCCTTAATGTGCATTTACTCTAATTATTGTACGTGGCATAGTGAAAATACGTTGTGCGGGAAACAGCTGAAATTACTTTGGCTTGGGAAGTCTAAAGCTCATGTCTTGTATAGTCATTATAAAATTGACAATTATGCAAGTTCAAGAATACGATGAAATAGAAACAAAGATATTTTTAATCCATTTTAATTATACTCCTCATAAGAGACACGTAGAAGGCAAACCATGTTCTCGGCGACCTAATCGTGAAAGTTAGGCTGAATTTCCAAAAGTTAAATATTTTCTTTACATCATTTCCTATGCAAACGGCAATTAAAATCCAGTGGGGATATAAAACGGATACATCCTGATAAGAAAATAGAAAAAGAGAAATAGGAATATGTTTGTCACGTTAAACCAGTGGCACTAAATACATAAGAAAGCAAGACATTAAAAATAGACTCCTCCCCCCCCCAAAAAGAAGTTAAACTGTACAATGTCTCCTTAATGAAATACTCTCTTGAAGATAAGGAGGAGTCCTCCGTCTTTTTAGAGACTAACAGATTTATTAGAGCATAAACTTTCGTGGGTGAAACCCACATAATCTCTGAGAGATGTCTTGAAGATGGTTTGAGTAGTCATTAAGAGGCGGTTGTTTGGAAAATGGGGGAAGTGATTATTTGTAAAGTCTGGTATTTACTCCTAATTCAAATCCTATTTTCTCCTTCATGTTAATTGTGGGGACTTCCATATTCATTGCCGCACACCTCCCTTCGCGCTCCGGATTACTGCAGGCAAGAAAAACGAGTTTCAGCTACCTAAGGGGACTCAATTTAGCGGAGGAGAAGGAGCAGAAGATGTTGCATTCGCTGTATTCGAGCAGGGACCGTCTATTTTGGAAAACTAACGGAGCCCATTAGATGCCCTAGGAATTTTCTTTAACATACATATGTGATTTTAATGACTTGATCGTATTTGCAGGTATTGCTGTCCTGCTCTTGTCGAATTGAAAGGGAACTCGTGGTAGCCCAAAAGGGTTCGCTGACAGATCCCGAGTCAATTAGCTTTATCATGAAGATTTTAAAAAATATGCAGATGTTTTCAACCTTTTGGAATGATTAAAAAAACCCAAATCTTGAACAGTCAGGAGACTATACTAATTGTCGCGACCGTTAGCATGTGGGTCTCCAATCTACATGCAAACACTCATGTATCTGCTCTATAGGGATGGCATTAAATCCGGAGGCAACGTGGTCAGGATTAAATCCTTTCCAGTCCAAAGAGATTGGTGTCGATGTTGCTGTTGTTTACTAGGCAGAATACTGGAAAAGGGGGCGGGAGTTGTTTCCCTTTCCACGGTGTGAGTTTTCACGCGGCGGATTTAACAATTAGCGAGAGATGTGTTTGTGTTTTGTCCTGGATCTCTGCTTTCCTTACGTACTGGCTTTCTCTGGGTGGAGGTCCAAACAAAAGGGGTTGATGAAAAAGTGATGGCATGTACACGCTTCTACCGCGTTACAGAGATGCCCTTCTCCTTATAGCCAGAGGCGGTAGGGTAGGTAAAATCCGAACAGCAAGTTCCCCGCCAAATTAGTCTGCACAAAAATAAACTGTGTGTTTAATTAAAGGAACGGAGCCGCATCCCTTGTTAAAGGGCTCCCCCGCAACCCCGTCCAGTTTCCCCACTCCCCTTCATGTGGGCTGGAGGTTTTCCCATAGCAGTTTTTTTTTTTTTGGTAGGAGCATTTTAAAGGCAGTAGGGAGGTGCTGGTGGGGGGAGCGTAGTGATTTATGACAAGAGGATAAACTCAGGAAACCTCAACTCCAACGCCAGACTTGACTGGAGACAACACAAAGCTGTCGGTAGTTTCAATTCCTAGGACGGGAGGGCGAAAATGCAAGGGGAGGCAAAAAAAAAATCTAAGTCGATTGCAAACAAAAGCGGGGATGTAGAGTTAAAATAGAGGGGGAGGGGCAGAGGGGAAAGAGAAAACAGAAAGGTTGCAAACACTGGGACAGAACAAGTCAGGTGGAAAAAAGGCCCCCTCCCCGAACTAAGCAAATAGGCTGTATTTCCCAGTAGCCCCCACTCTCTCCGTACTCCCCCCCTCCACCCGCAGCCAGACACAATATTCTTGCGGATTTGATCGCAAGAGTTGATGCAAGTGAAGGAAGGAGCCAATTCATTGTTTGACCAATCATGGTGCAACTCGCTAGATCCTCTGAACTTTTTTTTTTTTGGGAGGGGGGAAAGGTGGTGGAAAGAAAGTGAGCTTATCGCCCCACATAATCATGCTCAAATCGCCTGGGCGGGGGGGAAGAGATAATGATAGGAAACACACATAATCAGTAACGGAGCTGAATAAACACCGGCGGATGGACCAGTGGGATAAGCCCCACAGGCAGGAGAGAGGGGGTATTAGCCAAGGTCTGACATCAGGATATGACTAAATCGACCGGGTCTGTAAATCCTCTATCAAAAGATAACGAGATATCTTCTCAACAGACACAAATAGTAAAGAACATGCGAGACCGCGGAGTAAGAGAAAATATGGGGGATTGATGCCAAGGAGGGTGGAAACTAAAAATCTACCCCCCACACCCAATATATTTTTTTAAGTTCTCCAAGTAGAAAGTTCGCCCGGAGTAAGTTTGTGAAGAAAGTTGACGCCCAGCAGGGAGCTCACCACCTTTCAGCCCCTGTCTACAAATGTACATTCAAAACCCAGCTTTCTAATTTTTTTCCAAAATATGGGGGATTGATGCCAAGGAGGGTGGAAACTAAAAATCTACCCCCCACACCCAATATATTTTTTTAAGTTCTCCAAGTAGAAAGTTCGCCCGGAGTAAGTTTGTGAAGAAAGTTGACGCCCAGCAGGGAGCTCACCACCTTTCAGCCCCTGTCTACAAATGTACATTCAAAACCCAGCTTTCTAATTTTTTTCCATTCAACACGCGGGGGGGGGGGGGGCGGGGGAAGCAAGATCACGGTAACGCTCTGGGAAGCAGCGAGCGACACAGAGAGGGGCCGCTGCGAAAGGGGGGAGCAGGCGGCGTTGCGTGAGAAGAGCCCACCGCCTCCCCTTAAATAGGCAGAAGGCGGGGTAGAGGGAGCACAGGGGCGGGGCGGCTGCTCCCTTTGATGTCCCGGCGGCTGCTTCTTTCATCCTCTCCCTTCCCCCCCGCAATCCCCCTCCTGGCCCCTTTGTGTGACTAAATTTGGCAAGAACATGGAGACGCGCCAGGCTTTCCACGTGTGCGCAGCGCTCCCAGCTGAGCAGGCGAGGGTTCTCTTCCGGGTAAGGAGACAGAAAGAAAGATCAAAGAGTTTGTGGAGTTGGATCTGAAATGTGCATTGAAAATAAAAATCAAGCCCTGGACGCCGTCCAACCTTGAGCAGACTGACTGAGACGCGCACAGAGAGGAGGGAGCGTTGAGCACATGGGGTAAAACAGAAGAAATCCGAGGGGAAGAGTTATTTTTTTCTCCCACAATTTTTGTGCGTGGAGGTTTTGCAATTATTTTCCTAAGGAAACTCTCAGGTGTATAATTATCATGCCAAATGGCTTCAACTATAAAAAAAAAAAATTGAGCGCAAAATGGGTCTTGCACTTTTCTCCAGATGTTTGACAATCAGAACCGATGAGCGAGCTTTGCTCTGACTCGCTGCCACATTTGTCAGCAGAGGAGAGAAGTACTTCATTACACAAACACACACATAACAAAAAAAAAACAACACCACTCCTTCCCCCTCAAAATTTAATCTGCCATGAGGGAGGGAGTTTTGGCAGGTTACCTGTAATGTTTAGAAACATGCCGTGGAGTGTCAAAACATACAATAATGTATTCTTATCAAGGGAAAATATTTATAGACAAGCATGAGATAGTGCCTGTTGCTATCCTCTGAAAGGCAAAAGCCTAGTGCAGAATTCACAGTGGAAACATTATCAGCACCCCATTAATACTTTATAAAACCAGCTAGACAGACTGAACATAGTGTCTAAGGAACAGATTTAAAAGACATTGCTGATACAGAACTTTTTGTGTATTTTGGTACATTCTTGTATTTTTATTACTAACTGTGAGCTGTGTTTGCAGTATATAGCTTCAGTGTTGGATTGAGAGAACTATTAAAACATTAATTTTCACACGTTGGTGTTTGTTTCTCTGTAAACATGCCACTTTATAAACTGTCAGCATTCTGAGAGAAAGCTGTCTCTGCTTTTCCTATATTTTATGTTTGCTGTCATTGCCCCACAGGGATTAAAAAGAAAAGAAAAGAAAAGAAAAAAAGAAACTGGGTTGTTAGATTCTAAACTATCAGTTGAAGTTTTCTTTATATTGTTTTTTTTAAAACCTGATTGAATGGCTATGCTTCCGGAGTCTTTATTCACCACTGTATTTAGATAACATACTGATTTATGTGGAAATTTAGTGTATAGGCTAAACAATCCTCAAGTTTTTGATCATGCGAAACTCCAAAAGACAGGCGGCTTGGATTAAATAAAGAGTGATTAAAAGATTAAAAATAACTAATTAATGCTTTGCACTTATAAAGTATAATTCATCATTTGATTTCCCTCAATAATTTCAGCACAATGGGTCCTGCTAAACTGGCCAGCCTTAGTTACACAATCACAAGCAGCAAAACTTTTATACAATGCTTCCAATCCAAAGCAAAACTTCAAAGATCTTTGAAAGCTTTCAATTGTTGGATGCCCAATGAAAGACACTTAAAGGTGCTGAGCAATTCCCATTGACTCATTTCAGTAGGAGTTGTGGGTGTTCAGCACCTCTGAAAATCATCCAAAGTGCCTTAAAGTGGGCACCTTACTCTTTGGAATCAGGAATATTCCCTCCCAAAAGGGGATTTGTCTGGATAATTTCATTGGCGTACTTGAGGTGCTCATGTACTCCATTATTAGAACCTACAGTCAGGAACCCCATTGGAAAGCCCATAAATAATGGATTTGGATGACTATTATAGAAAATCAGAAAGGATCTCTGTTTTAAGCATGGTTCCTTTAACAATGCAAGTATCTCTCTAATGCTTTTATTTTTTTAAATAGCACTGGGTACAAGACCAGCATTTCTTGCCTAAACACAAGAGTGTTACTAACAGATCCATTCTGACAGTAATGCCAGATGATGACAACAAGCATGATGCTAATCCAGCTGTTATCTTAGATCTCAAATGAATGTTAATGCCAGCTGCAATGATGACAGCCTCCCATTACCAGGATAACAGCGCTGTAACCTAACCCAAATGCTTCCTTTATCCACAGGTCAGGTACACCATGGACAATGGCTGTACAACCGCTCATCCAGAGCCCATCAATGATCACTATTCTTGATTTAAAAGGACCACTTTGAGAGGTAAGAGGGGTGGTTAGTCCTGGGCCTCTTTCCTTAGGGACTAACTGGTGCTAAGTGTAATGGCAAAACCTATTTACTGGGCTCTGGACTGTGACTGTGCTGTCTGTTTCCCATAATTTTCTGAGCTGGCATCAGATTGGAACTGCTTTCAGTCACTGCTGACAGGGTCCAGATTCGAATGAGTGTCCTAGAGTTGACAGGCTGTATCTCAATCTTTAGCCATGCAGTTCCCAAACCTTTGATTTTAGCTGCAAATGGTTTGAACTCAGATAATGAGGAAGTTGCTCTTACACATAGCGCCAAAGTGTTTTATCAGTGGGATGTCTGGTACATAAAATGATGTTCTCCCATTTGGGTGGTTAACTTGATGCTCATAGTGTACTGCAGTTGCTGGAACTCTCTACAAATGCATGATTTCTTATGGTGTTTCAAGTAACTTACTAAAAGGGACTAAAATCCTGAAGTTTTGACTCCATCTTCGAACAAAATTCTTATTTAAGAAAATGGGAGGTTTTTTGAGTAAGGATCACAAAATAACTTCTGTATTTGACCCATAATTTGGTCTTTATAAATGTGTTTTTTTAAATAAGAAATATAGAATGAAATAAACAAAGATTTTTTCCCCAAATTCAGCTGTCATTAGAGTCTTTATAAAAGAAACAATGTTATTTAAAGTAAAAGAGCACTTCAGTTATATATCTAGCAGCAGTATCAAAGGTCAATAGTATTTTGGAAGTGATCAGGGATAGTACATATCAGATTAGGATATTGTATAATTATTATTTATTAATTATTATTGTTTGCAACAGTCACATCCAGCTTTTCCATTCTGGGAATCCATCAGTGTTCTAAACTCAGAATGACTGTTCATAAAGTGCTGCTTTTTCTTAACCAGAGTCCCATGAGATGAAGTGGGCTTTGTGGGTTTTTAAGGGGCAATCTGAAATGAGTATTTTTACTTGAGAAATTTTCTTTAGATTAAGATGTTTTTGGCCTAGAACTTATGAAATCTTTAAAAATAATTTTGAACTCCAGGGAGTTCCCCAGAATTATTTCTGTGTCAGAGAGATGAGAGTCAAGCTGTGCAATATTGTCTCATTTAAGAAACAAACAGATTGCAGGTTTAACAACATAGAATTCCCATGTCAGGGGCAAGCTAAACTTTCCCCTTTGTTCTCTTTTATCTTATTTTCCAAAGTACAGCTCTTCTTCTGTTTTGTTCTTTAACCTTCATACAAAACGTATAAGAAATGGTATGGTTTGTTCAAATAAACTCTCTCACAGGAGCTAATTTTGTTGACTTAGGCTGATATCAAGTACTAGGACTGTTCGCTGAGATACAGAATTATTTTTGCTGACTCACAATATCAAGTGAGTTCTATTAATCCAACCCAGGTGCATAAAAAGGGTATTGAGCTCATTCTCTAAGGGGTGTAGAGTAAGTGACAAATCCAGACACTCAGGTGAGGTGAATGTTTAGGCTGAAGATTATGGTTTATTTTTCTTAATATGATAAAAAAGGCAAGCCCTGTGAAGAGGACAATAATTCACTGTTTGTGCAGTGTTTTTAGAGCATAGAATCATAGAATACTAGGACTGGAAGGGACCTCGAGAGGTCATTGAGTCCAGTCCCCTGCCTACATGGCAGGACCAAATACTGTCTAGACCATCCCTGATAGACATTTATCTAACCTACTCTTAAATATCTCCAGAGATGGGGATTCCACAACCTCCCTGAGCAATTTATTCCAGTGTTTGACCACCCTGACAGTTAGGAACTTTTTCCTAATTTCCAACCAAAACCTCCCTTGCTGCAGTTTAAGCCCATTGCTCCTTGTTGTATCCTCAGAGGCCAAGATGAACAAGTTTTCTCCCTCCTCCTTATGACACCCTTTTAGATATCTGAAAATGGCTATCATGTCCCCCCTCAATCTTCTCTTTTCTAAACTAAACACGCACAATTCCTTCAGCCTTCCCTCATAGGTCATGTTCTCTAGACCTTTAATCATTCTCGTTGCTCTTCTCTGGGCCCTCTCCAATTTTTCCACATCTTTCTTGAAATGTGGTGCCCAGAACTAGACACAATACTCCAATCGAGGCCTAACCAGCGCAGAGTAGAGCGGAAGAATGACTTCTCTTGTCTTGCTCACAACACACCTATTAACACAGCTGCATGGTGAGGACTTCATCTGATTACATGCTCCTTAAATATTTGCAAATTGGAAAACATTTAGGTCTGTTTGAAAATTCAAGCTGAAATAGTAGAAAGTGTTACCATTTATGTAGTGCCCAGAATCTGCTACTTGCTTTACAGGCACATGATCCTCATAAAGTACCTCTTTCCATGGCCTTTTTTGAAACACAAGCTATATTTTCATGTTGGGATTTCTCTGTTTATATGCAGAAGTCTGCAAATCTCTGCCTTGTTACTGGAAATGGGGACTTGGTACCATCTTCATTCATTGAGGTCATTAGTGGTAATAATTTTTACTTGGGTTTTAGATGACATTAATTTCCTGTGATGTAACAAAATATTGCTAACAGAAGAGGGCTGGTAGCTTCAGATGAGGTTCTTTGAAATGGGTGGGAGGGGCTTTGGGAAACTTTCCAGGGGCAGCTGTTCAAGGGAAGGCATGAGGATGTGGAAGTCTTCTGCTTATTTAGTAAGATAGTTAAGCAATGCAATGAATGTTTGCTCCAAGCGCATTACTCCTATATTTTTTTTAAATTCTCTGAACACCATCTGACCAAGTTCACTTCACAAATACAGCTGGAAACAGAAGGGGAGGGACAGTGGGTTATGCCACAGAATTGTCTGTATTGTAACAAAGAGCATTCCCCAAGGAAAGTCTTTAAAGCAAATAATAGGGAAATGTCTTTCTTTCTTATCATGAGACATTTGGAGGTTTACTTTGTTGTGAAGTTGAATCTCCTACTTCCTGATGAAGTAATTGTCATTAATTTGCTCAATTAGTGTATGAATATTTATAAATTAATAGTAACAGATGTATTCCAGCAGTATCCAGGGTTGTTTGCTAAAGAAATATAAAAGCAGAGTACAATTGGAAGGGCATTGTAAGATTCTGAGCTATAATTTAAGAGGTTCCTCAAAATACCTTAGCTTAATGGTTTAGGAGCCAGATAATAAACATGCAGCTTGATGGTGGTTGAAATATAAATAGCTTCCACAGCTTAGAATAACAGTTAAATTTTCTTTTAACTCATATTAGTCTTGCTTTTTTTTCTTTTTTTTTTTTAAGGCTGAAAACTTCACCTTTATTTCAGCCTTGTCATGCATAGACATTGAATAATATTGTTTGTCAAGAAGACCTTGGTTAAGTAGAAAATATACTGTTCCTACTAGTGAATGATTAAATATTCCAAAATTACTCCCTCAGGATCAGGAAAATGGGGGAGGAGAAGAGGGGAATTATTTAATACAAAAACAGGATGATGAGAAGGAGACTGAAACAATACAACAAACACTGGAGACAATGTTAGGCTAAATGCTACAGATCTTAAACAGGAGTTTTGTTTGAGTAAAAACTGAAGGTTTAGAAATTGGGATGAGAAAAAAAAGAGAATCTGAATTTAGTGAGAATGCAGACACTGAGATGGAGCTGTATTCTTCAGTCTAGTGTCACAAGATTCCTTATATTGTATTAATTTGATTTTTCAGAGGTATTGAGCATCTACAGTTCCTGTTGACTTCAGCTGGAGATCTGGGTGTTCAATAGTTATTTAAATCATATGTATATTTGCATCAGCCATTGTTGGGGGAATTTCTTAGAGGGGCAACAATACTGAAATGCTTACTCCTACACTCAACAGGTACTTAATATTGGGATGTGGATGTTATGATGGTTTTAAACTTGAAACCTCTATGAAATTTGCAACCACTGAATGCTGACTGTAGTTAAGTCAGGAGCAAGTTGCACAGAGGGCCCATATGAGTGCCACAGAGATAAATTAGTGCCTCGCTAGTAACTAGGAAATGACACAGATACTCAATGCTCCGTTGGGGCATACTGGGCAGGCTTTCCTGACATGATTTAGTAGTTCTGGGTGCCTTGATTTTTGGATGCCCTACCTAAGAAACCCTCTGAAAAATTAAGCTAAGTTCTTTTCACTTTCTGAAAATCAACCCCCTTTATGGTATTTCAGTTTGGGCACCCAAAAATGGAGGTATCCAGAATCACCAGTCACTCCTGAAAACCTTGATCGGTGATAGCTTTAGAGCATTTACTGTTGAAAGTGTCTTCAGAACCAGTTGTCTCTTAATGCCTAGCGATCTAATCCTGCTAAGCTTTATCATCTTAGCCAAAAGAAGTGTTGTAATAATTGGGATCCACCTGGGGCTGGTGACGGACTTTGCCAGGTCCTGGACAATGTGTTTGGGGGGGAGGGCAAAATGTTCCGGACCTCTGAAAGGGATGGGACCTTGGACAGAAGGGGCAGGACTAAAGGCAGCTAGCCCACAGCATCACCTGGAGAGTGCTGCACCTCCCTCAGCCTGCCCTCGGTGCCACCTGGTGCCCCAGGCCCTTTTAAGTCACCAGGCTCCATGGCATCTGCTTTTTCCT